GTGCAAGGCCTCCTAGAACCTGTGCCTGTGACCTGTACGTTGTCACTTCTGACACAGTGTCAGTCAACTCAGCCACCGAAGGAGCCCAGATCCAAGAAGGTGGAGAAACAGACCATACTTTTTGACAAGTGATGTTGTCAAGTCATGTTCCAAAGCAGGTGGGCACAGGGACGACCTGTTGGTGCTATTTATGCAAACACGTCGATCACCGAATCTTCTCCTCCTTAGGCATCACGTGGTTAGAAGGCACCAGGCTCTGAAGCGTCTTACATTGGTTCTAGACATCAGAAGCATCTGTGTGCACACAGGTGGGAGGGTAAGGCTGTGCATGCCGACAATTTGCTTCGAGTGTCTTAGGCTTCACCAGTCATGGCCTGGAGTACATCACTGAGGGGGATGTGCAAAAGCATTCAAGAAATGACTCAAGGTATTCAGAAAACATCCCAAAGAAGGCATCACAGTCACCTTGCAGCTCCTGCTCCTATGCATGTGTGCATGCTCAGTCACTTTAGTCATATCTGAGTATTTCTGACCCCGTGGACTGTAGCCCACCAGGCTCCTCTGTCAGTGGGATTCTCCAGGCAAGAATACTGGGGTGGGTCGTCATCCTCCAGGGGATCTTCGTGACCCAGGGATCGAACCTACATCTCCTGGTCTGCAGGCGGATTCTTCACTGCTAAACCACCAGGGAGGCCCTTCTGTTTCTACACTGCCCTGAAATTCTGGTCGGGCTCTGGTTGCCAAGGAGATGCTCTTGTTTCAGAATATGGGACAACTCTGTGCCAGTGCTAAACACCCATGGAAAATGGCTTCCATCTCCTTTTCCAAATGAATAAATACAAGCTCTTTTGACTGACCTTTCAGACCCTGCACAGTCTGACCAAATTACAGCTTCCAAATCCATCTTCTAATGCAGATCCTGCACATGCACACTCCACGTTGCCATGGACTCTTGTCCTTCTGGCCTCCATTCCTAAAGGTGTAGCTCCTCAATCACTGCAAATCCAAATCTTAGCATTTCTACCAGCACCTTTTTCAGTACTGGCTGCTTGAAAAACTGTCACCATTAACAGCAAACAAAAATGCACGATTCTCCCAAGTAAAGGGCAATCCACTCCAGTATTCTTGCCTGGAGAATCCCAGGGACAGCGGGTCAGTCCACGGGGTCGCAAAAAGTCGGACATGACTGGGTGACTCACTCACACCCACATGTCTCTTTATTTGGTATTGAGGGAAAAGAAGAGTGATTAAAGCCAGACAAATCTGAGGGTAGTTCTACTGTCCACTTGTTTGGCCTCAGACAAGTTGCTTCATTTTGCTCTGTCTCTATTTTTAACTCTCTAAAATGGGGAAGAGACCCACTTTCAAGGGGATTCTGATAAAATAATGTATTTAGAGTTCTTAATGTTTAGATAGGATACACGATAATTTGATAAGTGATGGCTCTTTTTATACCATGTTTCAAGTTATTATCGTCTTTCCTGTGTAGTCTCATGTTGCCTCTCTTACCCACACTTCTCCCCCTTTTAACGACAAGGGCTATGTCTTCCTTCTTATTCCTGATATCCACATTTATAGATGAGAAAATGGAGGAACCATAAGATCTGGTGATTTGTTCACGGCCAGATGGTTTGCCGTGGTGGAACCGAGATTTGAATTTATCCTAGGACCTGCCACCTAAACCGCTGCCTTGCACTGCCTTAACTTGGTGTGGACTTCCAGGAAGGAAAGTCTGAGATTAAAGTCTATTTGAAATTGAGGGGCAGGATTGGAGGACAGGGGGAGTAAAGTAGGCAAAGGAGGAAAGAGTGGACTGGTACTCAGTTACACTAGGTCCTCTGAGTCTCCAGACTGAGACCAGGCAGATGGAAAGAAGGAAAGAGTCACCCTTGGTCTCCAGTTAGTCACTGTTCAGGGGTTGACTGCTAATTCCTCACCCTTGTGGTTGTATTCGATCAGCATGGAGGTGCCGAAGACTCTGGAGAGTCCCTTGGACACCAAGGAGATCAAACCAGTCACTCCCAAGGGAAATCAACCCTGAATATTTACTGGAAAGACTGAGGCTGAAGCTGAAGCTCCAGTACTTCGGCCACCTGATGGGAAGATTCGGCTCCTTGGAAAAGACCTTGATCCTGGGAAATATTGAGGGCAGGAGGAGAAGAGGACAACAGAGGATGAGATGGTTGGATGGCATCACCGACTCCATGAACATGAGTTTGAACAGGTTCCAGGACATGGTGAAGGACTGGAGTGCTGCAGTCCACAGGGTCACAAAGAGTTGGACATGACTGAGCATCTGAAAGACAACATGGCCCCTCTGGTACCCTGCCACAGGAACTCATAGCAGCTCCAGGGCAGGAAGCCAGACCTAAAAGGTGCTTTCCCACTGTCTCTGGGAAAACCTGGCCCCGGCCTGCGTGGAGCTGGTGGCCACAGCACAGGGCAGGAGGGGGTTAGCAATGGGCCATGGTGATGGTAACGTGGTTGGTGTGTGAAGTGGCTGGTGTGTGTGAAGCAGTTGGCACTAATGCCTCAGCAAATAAAGGAAATAGTGGATGGTAAAAATGTAACCAGGAGTCTTCCTGAATTTCATGTTGATATGAGGATGAAGGATTTGTTTATTTTAGAAGCAGGGTAGTGCAAGAGGGATTATTAAGCATTCTTATCTCAGATCCCTTTAAATAATTCTATGGGTGAATTAAAATAAAAGAGTTCTAAGGAAAGGTGTGGACTCACCTGTGTTTTGAAACATGTCAAGTATGTGAGATTATGGGAGAAGAGACATTTTTCTGAGACTGACTTTCAATTCACAGTTAGAAAATTACCTGAGTTAGAAACTATGCCTTTGCATTCGTAACTTCTACCACATAGAAAGGCCCTAAAAATTTAAAAAAAAAAAAGCAACACAGTTTTAAGTTTTTCTGGGTCTTCTTTAAGAAAAGTGTCAGTCGCTCTTTGGCCCCCACATGAACTGTAGCTCGCAAGGCTCTCTGTCCATGGAATTCTCCAGGCAAGAATCCTGGAGCGGTAGCCAGCCCCTTCTCCAGGGGATCTTCTTGAGCCAGGGATCGCAGCTGGGTCTCCTGCACTGCAGGTGGATTCTTTACTATCTGAGCCACAGGGAAGCCCAAGTCTTCTTTAGGATCAGGCTTATTCTCTTGGGAAAAACTTCCAACCTTGAAGCTGACAGGTGAACCTCCCCCCTAAGATATCATCTTTTAAATCAAAAGGCTTATTCAGGACTGGAGGGGGAAAAAAACCTATTTTTTAAAATTAAAAAAAGTTGCAAGTTAGCCAGAAAAATAAGTTATCTAAACTTATGTTTGGGAGCATGAACTATTCTTTAATTTTCCAAGCAAGATGTCATGTTGCAAGCATAGTCATTTATATCATTAACCAAGAAACTTAGGCTGCATTAAGGTTGTGAAGTTCAGTGTAAAAGTGGCGTCAGAAAGATGGAGTTCAGCTCCCCACTGTGCTGATTCTAAGGTGCCAACTCTTGGGCAAAGCTCTCAAGACTATTTCCTCTTGTGTAAAATACAATCAGTTCTTTACAAAGTTATTATGAGGATTAAATGAGACCGTGTATGTGAAAAGACCAAGTACACACATAAGGGGTTTCATTTTACTTTTTAAAAATGGCCAAAGTTATTCATCAGTTCCTAGGGAACTAGGGTTGAAAAGCTGGATCTTGAATTGGGAAGACGTGGAAGCTTAGCCGTTGGCTGAGTGTGGTCTGAGATGCCCTGTCCTTTATCTCCCCTGCAACTGCTGCTGCTGTTGGGTCGCCAAGTCGCGTCTGACTCTTTGTGACCCCATGGACTGTAGCCCGCCAGGCTCCCCTCTGTCCATGGGATTTCCCAGGCAAGAATACTGGAGTGGGTTGCCATTTCCTTCTCCATTATCTCCCCTAGAGGTCACATATTATTGAAAATGGCAGACTCTAATCAGCAAGAAGCCAGTTTTTGCTGATCTCCCACAATAGCTGGGGGCTTCCCAGGTGGCACTTAGTGGTAAAGAACCCACCTGCCAATGCAGGAGCGGCAGCAGATGCGGGCTCCATCCTGGGTCGGGAAAATCCCCTGGAGGAGGGCACAGCCACCCACCCCAGCCTTCTTGCCTAGAGAATCCTGTGGACGGAGAAGCCTCTGGGCTCACAAAGAGATGGACACGACTGAGACAACTTAGCAGGCATGCGTGCAGTATAGCTGGACACGGGGCACAAAGGGAGAGTTCCTGCCTTTGCTACGAGCTTTTGTGCAATTAGTGAGCTAAGAGAAATAAGAAGTTAGGGCTCTCCTTGGAATACTTTGCACAAAAGACTGCACATCCCCTCTAGCTTTCCCAGACTGCCTTACATTTCTACTTGACAGTCTTACTATCACCTCATTACAGTGTATACTCACCCCCTCCTCCCAAACTCTCCTTCCTAACTCTTTATTTCAATTAGCAGTAGCACTGCTCTCTGGGTTTTCTCAGGCATCCAATCAGCCTCATCACTGTACTGAGTATTTCAAATCCCTTCTTACACATCACCAATCTCAAGCAACTATCTCAAGAAGGCAATTATCTCCCTCAGACTGTGGTACAGAAATCATGGTTCCTAGAAATCAAGTTACTTAAGGTCACAAAGCTTAAGTGGAAAACAATAAGCTTTGAATTCAAGCTCTGACCCCAGGTTCAATGTCCCTTTCCCCATTCTACCTTACTATTTTTGGTAAATAAGAGATAATAGAGAAATTAATTTTCCTATTGCTGAGATCACAATGGACAGTTTCAAGGGTAATAATAACTATATTTTACACAATTTACACTATTCCATTAATGCAATATTAAGTGGTTGTAATAAATGTCACAAGAAAACTGTGGGTCAGGAAGAAATAAGAGGGAAAATGACTCATATCTTTCAGAATGCATATCCAATAATTAAACAAAACCTACACAAGAATACTTCTTGAATATTCAATCAAATATATATATACAAAAGCAAATAGTCAGTGTTCAGTTTTGCCAATTTTATTGAACCAATAAAATTCCTACTAATAACAATGAAATAAATTTCTGCAAGTATAAATGTGATACAGTTTAACAAAACCCATTGTTCTGTACCTATAAATAGATTTTCAAAATGTCATAAAAAGTGCAGTTATGAATTGTTAACATGTTAATACATAGTTGCTTTATTTCAAATGTGTTTGCCTTGACTCACCAACAGTTCCTTCTGTAGCTGTTCAAATAATATTACCCATCCCTCCAAAAAAAAACAGAGGCTTTAAAGCACTAGAATATTACACATAAACTGATCCATTGAGGTCAGCTTTAGTCAGAATTGTAAAATCAGCAACATAAGAAAAATAAAACCTAGTTATACATACGAAAAGCTTTCATGGGTTCTATACTTTTCTTAACTGCTGACTCATGTGGAGGGCATAATAGTTGAAAGGCTTATATGGTTAACTAACTTAGACTACATCTACAGCAGGGTCTGATTTGCCAGAACAAGTTTAAAGTGGCTGTTTATCAAGTTTGTTGTCTTCAGAATTGAAACCATAAATGTAAGATCGCCATTTGACACTGAAAATTGTGTGAATCCTAAATTGCATCAATGATCTATTTGATAAAAGCTTATTCTAATTGAAAACCTTATATAGTAAGAGACTGATAGATATATAGCAGTCTTAAAGATCACGTCATCCGCCTCACATTAGTCCAAAGTCACGTGCTTCGTAAAAAAGAAAAAAATTACAGTAACAAAGCACAGGACCACGAAGGCAAAACATCACAGCTTCTGATTACATGGAGTAAAAAGTACCGAGGAACGCAGAGATAACTGTGTTAATACTGATGAAGTAAAGAACTATAACAGACATTTCACAGCATGCTACATATATCACTCACAACTCAAGGATAAAATGATGTCTAAAATTGAAAGATAAGAAGTTGGCAATCTGATTTCGTGTGCAATTCAGCTACAAAGTCTTAATATATACATTCATGATGTAGCTGCCCTGCAAAATCAGGTTTGTTTTAAAAAAGAGAGATTTCAAGTTCAAATCCTATTTCATAAGCTAAAGGATACATCCAGTTCTTCCATGACCAGGAAAGTTATTTTCAGGGTTGAAGGAGCGAATCCAAGTAGCAAGGCCATGTTCCAAGCTGACCTGACAGGGTTCTGTGTAACCTTGCTCCAACTGTGCATGTGGCTGTGAGTATTCTATTAGCATGGAGAAGATGCCAAACTGGCTTGTGGTTTGCTTTCTGTGTCTACCTTATCTGATTGACAAGAGTAGATGTGAAAAGAGAAAAGAGGAAGGGAAAAAATGGTATTTTCTTTCCAGGGAAGATATATATGCATATAAAGGGAATATCTGCACTAGGTATAGAGTTGGGATGATGTCCCTTGGTGAACAAGGGTAGCATTGAACTCTTTCCCTTTATTTTAGAGAATCAGTGAAATTGAGGAAGGAGAAAACAAGTCTCAATGTTACAAAGGAAATTTCTTGGTTACCCAACTGATGAATTTCCTTGATCCTACATTTTGATCCTTCCTTATCAGATTTGGGAATCAGTCGACAATTTGTAAAGACTGATTAACTTAAGAAGATGTATAATCAGTTTCATTCCGTAGGTGTCATAATGCATGAACTTAAGCTAATCAGGATTGATAAACAATAGTTTAGCATTAAAGACTAGAGAGTCTCTCTCCTTTTGATTTTTTTTATGAGATTAAACTGAGGAATGCAAGAAAATAGACTGGTTTAGCAAATTTGTATACCCAAAATTACATTTATCATAGTTAGACTTACTACTATTTGATGTACTATGAGCTGTAAAATAGGGTGTTTGTTCTAACGGCCATTCTATAGTATGAATTTCATTACTTCAAAGATTTCCACAAGCATTTAAAAGAATCAGGTATTCATCCCCCCCCACCCCCACCACCCTCATATTCCTTCTTTTTCAACTCTGGACCTCATGGTGGTGCACTCATAATTTAAAGCTAGAAGGAACATTTTATAACATAGGATTTAATAAAAACTATCCCTTCAGGCTCTATTTATTCAAGTCTCATTTCTTAACTAGGCATATATTCATTCCTGGGCCCATAAAGGTATTTATTGGACTCTGTTTTCAAGTTGGGGTGTTCACAAATGGGTATGGAAGGCACCCGGATACCACCACAGATAATAATATTTTAATCTGTACTTTCAAACAGGGTGGGGTTTGACTTCAGGTCAGACAACCGTCTGCAGATGAACACACCCCGCGTTAGAAATCCGACAGAGTTCGTCTACAGACTGCACCAAGCAGGCACTGGCCAGACCGGAAGCGCTGTGGCTTCTTCCCTTCTGTGCGCTTCCGGTTCCTGGATGATAGTCTGGATATCCTGGAAGTACCACCAGGGGAATAAGGACTACGAAGGCAGTGCATTCCCTTTTCATCTCACAGCTCATTTTCCCCAGCGAGAAACAGGGTGGGAACAGGGGTTACATGCTTAGTCTAACGCGGGAAGCTTGATCAAACCCTTAGGTAGCCAATTTTGTGGTATTTTATCTATATTATAAATCCAGTGGGCTTCTGTGAGCCAATGGGACCACCTAAACGCCATTTATCGCATGTCCTTCTGTTGGAAGTAAGTTTCAAGGCCCAAATGACACCCATAAAACCAATGTCAGAAACACCACCCAGCTGTATGCCAGAAATTTCCTGTTCCACTGATCGGTTACAGATTAGTCTGGACTGCTGGAGAATTTTCACTTTACATTCAAATAACTTGGACTAATGCAGGTATTTACTACCTAGTATAGATCCAGGTTAGGATGGCATTTCAATCACTTTAAAATCCTGCTAAATGCTAATTTCTGCATGGTAGAAATAGTTCGATTTCTTATCATGTATAAATATAAAGATTCCTACTTTGATAGAAGGCAAAACTCTTCTATGATTTATTTAAAATATGGAAGTAGTACTTCTGAACAACAGAGAGTGAATCCATGAAAATGGTTGGATAACTCTGAGTTTATAGGCTCTTTGGGGATGAGGTAGAGGAGAACAAGATATTCTGGCAGCGGGGAAAGGGCAGAACAGTATGGGATGGACGCAATCACATGTGGTGCTACAGAATTTCTGGTAGGGGATCGAGGGCAAAGGTGAGCCAAAATATACCTAGATGACTGAGGGATTTCAAGGGAGTTGGGACAAGTCATATTCCTCATGAATGAAGAAAAAGTAACTGGGGAAAGTAAATGCTGGTGACGATCAGCAGGTGGCTGGTGATGTCTGGTTTGTGAAAAGGCGTTCACACCAAGATGGGCTGAGGGGAGGGGAGGAGAGTGAGCATGGTTGAGGCTGAGGCACTTGGGAGGAAGAGTGAGCAGGCAGGAAAGGGTGGGCTGAATGTAGGCAGGAGCTCCCGCAACAGGAAGGGCTCCTTTAGACTGGGTGTGTGATGCTGAGGGCAGCCACGCTAGTGGAGTTATTATGGTCCATGTGTTCTTTGAAAAACTCTTCCTTCCTCACAGGGCTCTGCCTCAACAGGTACCTCTACCTCTGCGATCCATTTCACTCCAGCTGTTTTTGTTCTAGGTCTCACCTGAGCAGACACTACTGATGAAGCCAAATTAGCATGGAAGTTCCACATGGAGGGGGCACTGAAGTTCTGTTGACTGAGATGAATACATTCATGTTACAGTACTGTTTTAAGGAAAGACTAATTTGATTCTCAGTCTTCAGATGGATATAATCGGGAAACAGAGTTTATGATGATGGCCACCTAAAATAGGTTCTGACTATGACATTAGGTAACTTAAAACTCAGTCTGAATAGAGGAGCCACATATCTTTCAGTTTCCTGTTAAATTATACTATTAGCAAATTTCATATACTATTTATATAACATTATAGTTGCATAATTTTCACTCCATGCAAGACCGTCTATTTGCATAAAAGAAGAAAAAGCCCCCCATAGATAAAGAGTTTAAGGTCTTGCTTTCCAGAGGAATGATTTAGAATTGTCTTTAAAACATAACATAAAACAAAAATGAAAACCTCATTTTACTAGCACAGTGCAAATCATTTTTATAACATGCACTGAAATTTATTTTTTTCCCTGATGAACTGCCCTTAGAGTTTAAAAGAATCTTACCACCAAATAGGCATGTACTCTGCACAAAAATGGTGAACTGTTTTTAAGTACACATTTTTAACTGCTGGTTGATAATTTCATTTTGCTGTAGCATAAAAATTTAAGATTTTGGATTTAAAAACTCTGTAAGGTGGGAAAAAAGTTGCTCAGGAATAATGTTAACTAGGTGTTAGAAGCATTTGAAATCGTTAAGGGACTTTATAGCACAATTAAAATAGGGGCTCTGGTTCAAATATGATTTTGATATAGAGCTGACATTGAGGGTTCTATTCTAAGAGTCTTGTGCTGTTATTATTTGGGTTTAAAGCTATAATTACAGGCCAAGACCAGCCCCAGATTCCACATTAGCCATTTTTTACTTAAAAAACACCCGAAATGGGACAAAGGTTCTTCCTGAGACTGAGACAATATCCTTAGCTCAAAATGGTGAAGAAAGTTACAAGTTGTCCCATCTCAAAAGCCTGCTTTCCTCTAATTATCAGGAGTCCATCTGAGGAAGCCGAATCCGAAGGATTTAAAGAGGCACATGTCTGGCCACTCCCACAGTCAAGGGACTGGGTTCACCATTTACTTTCAGAGAGGAGTATTTGGATTTTCTTAAGGTGATCCGAGAAAACTGAGCATTCTAACTCTAGCGGGAAAACTCAAACTTTGAAAGTAAACAGAACCATTTCAAGCATGTACATCAGTGGATTGTTAGACTAATTTGAAAACAATAAGCAACGGAGTCAGAGACTTCACATTCACATGTGCTTTTTGTTTTTCTCACGTACACGTGCACAGCTTAATTTGGCACAATGTGAGCCCCAGGGGTAGGTTAGCGGATCATATAGTCACATCATGACACCAATTGAACCAGAGAGCTCTTTTAAAAAATATCACATTTTAATATAAAAGGCTATGCTATAAATTACTACATAGTAGATTCAATACTCTGAAAAAATACCACCCTGGAAAACCGCATCAGAATTTCAAGTTTGCAGTAGCTGAAGTTCACAGCAAACTCCTGTACAACGGTATTCACAACCTGGAAGGTTGTGCAGGCTGCATCTTGGCAGGTGCTTTGGCACCTCCAAAGTCAACTTTTCTAGGCTGATTCAGTGAGGTTCATAGATATCTTGTTTTATTTTTGTTTATAGTTCCAAGTCAACTGATTTTCCTGATTAGCGATAAGACACATCTATGCTAAGCTAAAAAGAAACTTTGCTAGGAAAGAGATCTAGTAAAGGCACTAATAATATTCCCATAACCCAAACTTGAACTACTTACATTTCTGGGGCGGGGAATGCAAAAACAAAAACTAAGTGGCCATTTTAGTTACTTAAACCTTGTTTCCCCTTTTGGTTTAAAGCTCTTCTGATGTTCTATGAGAATTTTTCCTCCTTTTTAATATATAAATTATTTTCAACCTCTAATACAGGTCACCTGCACAAAAACATAGGGATATTAACTGAAAGAATTCTAGTTAAAAAAACAAAATGTCAAGAGTAAAGGGTATCCTCAACTTGAAAGTTCTAATATTAGGGAAGTCAAATGGACATGCATGTTGTCATTCACATTTTGCCATTCCCCTAAATATTTTCTTTGTGGTTAGTACCTATCTATATAATGTGATATGGAATAACATCAACATATGGTATATGCAATAAACAAAACAGACTCGATCTGGCATGAGTTCTTTGAATAATCTTTTTAAATAAACCATCCTGTCTTTAAAAATATTAGCAGTTTTTTTCCTCACATGGAAGATTTCAAACAAGATCCTGGAATCTAAAAATGCAGAATTACCTTATATTCATAGGTGTACAGTCATCTTTCTATTTTCTTACCTAGAACAAAGCCTAACAGAGAGCAACCTAGTGGATTGTACCAGAAAAGGATGATAAATGGAAGGGGAAAATGATTGACGAGAACACTAGCCCACAATTCTTTCATGAGAGGAAAGAAAAAGTTAAGTCCTAGATAACAAGTAAGTCTAAAATGCAATCTTTGTGGGAATGCTAATGGAAAAATTTAACTATCTTCTTTACTGTGAAAAAAATGGATTTTTTAAAAAAATTAGCATGTTTGTGTAAAATTCAAGTCACCCTTAGTTAACCAAAAAGTGTTTAAGCAGTGCAGTCGTGTCCTACCGGATAGCTGTGAGCATCTCTTTAGGCACTTCACTGGTTCATTAACATAATACAAATTAAAGCTATAAATATACAACATTGTGCTCTGTGAAGATAGTCTAATCAAGCAACATAAACCAATGCAAAAATGTGACTTTTGGGATGCTTTTTCCTCCCTTAAGACTTGAGATCTTTTTTAAACCAGTTGTCCAAAGAGATTGTTCTGGGAATGGGGATGCTTTGGCATTGTAAAAGGAACATTGTTCAACACCAGGAAGGCAAGAGCCTTGTGCAATAAAGAAATCTAAACTAGATTTCTTTATAGCTCTGTGGTAAAAGGACACTTCTGCAGTGACATACATAATAGGGGGAAGTTTGTTGAGTCTTTTTCTCTCTCTCTCTCTTTTTTTTTTACATATTGCACTCTTGTGTTGTTGTTGTTCAATCACATTAATGCATAGAAACACAATTTTTACCTTTGAATAATCAACTGTTTAACCTATCATAAGAAAAACCGTGGAAAGTAAGTTCTAGAAGCCTAACAGGAAAAAAATATAGGCATATTAACCTTCCTCTGCTTACTGAAATATAGAAAACACTATGAGAAAAGAAAAATGTGCAAAGAAAATTTTTGGTCAGTCTTGTGTGGGTACATGTTTATATGTGCCAACTAAATGAACTGTAAGCAGTCCTGTGAGCACTGATTACTCTGATGACTGAGGATTACTATCAGTGATAGAAAGGAGTGTGCATAATTCCACTTTGAATATATACATCTGATATGGAAAACGGAAGCTTCTGTTTCAGAAGAGAAAGAAACTAGCTGAATTTGGCATTTCAGTAGCATGCTATAGAATTCATCATGATCAATTTCACATTAAATTATGGACAATGGCTGTATCACATTTCATGTTATCGCCAATAGCAGTAAAAAAAAAAAAAAACAAATAAAAAAAATAAACAGTGCCTGACAAATAAACTCCTGGAGACACAGATACGTGTCCTGTGAGCAGCTTAGTTCAACAGCGCATGCTTCTCCTCCACCAGGTGTAGGACACAACCTTAAAATTCTAGAATGGCCAGAGGAGGTCATTCATTGCTGAATTCTGATATCTGAAAAACAATTGCTCGAGCAGATTGTAAGCGCTTTTCCTTATTTAAAAAAAAAAAGGAAAGAACAAAAATACACATACACACAAACCCCAAAGCACTGAAGTTAAGCATTAACTAACCAGGTTCATGATTTATGATCAGTATCCAAAAACCCAACTACAAACAATGCCAAGTAGTGCTCCTCAGTATTATTTTTGCAATTGTTAGTCATGTTAAGCATCAAGGAAAAGAAAACACATCATTGCACATTACAGCCGCCCCCAAAAACGGCTAAAACTTTGACACTAGAGAATTGAATAATGTTTGATGCTACATCACAAACAGCTTCAGATGTATATCCTATGTGAAAAGGTCTTTACACATATATGGTATCTTCCCTGGGCGATGCTTCAGGTCAAATGCCGAGTTATGGCACGAAGAGCATAGAGAAGCTCAGCTTGCATCCGTGCTTCCATTAGAAGTAAATTGACATGAACCTAGAAATCAAAGTGTTACCAATTTAGTGACCATTATAAACAACTGAAACAACTTTATTTCATATATCAGACATTCACAAATGTATTATAACATTAGGTGTTATAATTTCACCAGTATTATAGACACACATACAAACACACATGCCTGTGCATGTTTGTGTGTGCACATGATGTACCACTCATAAGAAAACTGTTTATTAAAAACATGTGAGCAGTAAAAATGACCCCTAGAATCTTAAAAAGTCCAGTAATTTTCTTAGGATAGCTGTAAAGCTAGACAATCCTTTGGGTTATAAAACGAAAATAATTTTTGCAAATTACAATTCTACAAAAAATACTTTCTTCCAGATGTAAAATTTTATATGGCTGAAAATCAGCCTGACATTTCCTATAGTCTGTACTTACTCCTTGGAAAGTTCTTAAAAACATTTGTTACTATTTACAGGCATACCTAATTTTATTGAGCTTTTGCTTTAACGCACTACATAGACATTGCTTTTCTTTCTTTTTTCACAAACTGAAGGTTGCATTGCATTGAGCAAGTCTATTGGCGTCATTTTGCCAACAGCATTTGCTCACTTCTTTGTCACATCTGGTAATCCTCACAACACTTCAAACCCTCCACCACAAAAAAGATTATGACTCACTGAAGGTTCAAATGATGGTTAGCATTTTTTAGCAATAAACTATTTTTTAATTAAGGTAACTATACTGTTTTGTTTTTAAAGACGTGATGCTATTATATACTTAATAGGCTACAATGTATTATAAATGCAACTTTTACAAGCACTGGGAAAACAAAAATTCCTGTGGCTGGCTTTATTGTGATAGTAACTTTGCTGCAGTGGTCTAGAACCAAATCAGAATATCTTTGAGGTATGCCTGTACATGGGAGAAACCAAGGTGAAAATCTGAAGCTTAAAGCAATCTGAAATGAGTACCCGGTAGGTTACTGAATGGTGACGAAATTTTGGTTATGTGTTTTGTCCAATGTGGTGTGTAAAATAAAAGTCTAGCATTGGCCTTTGAAATACTGGATCTGACCCTGATGCTAGGAGATTGAGGGCAAGAGGAGAAGGGGGAGACAGAAGATGAGATGGTCGTATGACATCACTGACTCAATGGACATGAATGTGAGCAAACTCTGGGAGATACTGAAGGATAGGGAAGCCTGGAGTGCCACAGTCTATGGGGTCGAAAAGAGTCAGACACGATTAAGGGATGAACAACAACAACTTAGATATGCTTAGCTTGCCTAGAGTCTTTCATATACAGCTGTGAACAAGCACCTGGGGGAATTTTTGAGGGGGATACATCTCACCCAATAGGTTAAAATAAGCACCCACAGATCTTCAAAAGTTTTTACAAAGAAGTATGATATATTTAAATTATTTTGATATCTTTCTACAGGTTAGATATATCACTGGATCTATTGATGAGTAAGGAGAATTTCTAGATACCACTGAGTCAAGGGAGAAACTGTAATGCAAACTTATAAGCAGAGCATAAAGATCTATCAAGGAGAGATGGTGGAGGTAAATGGGCATTTATCTGATGTGTGATTGGCTCTAAGACTTCAAGAAAGACTGCTAGGGATCGAGGTCCTAACATTCTCTATCAAAGTCATATAGTTAATTAGTGAATATTAGGACTCTAAAAAGGTTTTCTTACCTCAAGCTTAGGAACTGTGGTATAAATGGAAGATTCTTGGATTTAAAGGTCAATAGACCCATGACTTAAGGCCATACTTATACTATACTATTATATCAGTCATTTATTAGGTCTTAAATAATGTTTCCTATATATTGATATTTCAATCCCCCAAAATCCTCATATAATAATATACTTGGCTCAAAGGTCTGCATTATATTGTCAAAACACTAAATTACCAAATTGGAATGAGAACTATTGTTCTGATAGGTTAACTGTAAAATGGCTAGAATGAATAAATCTCTAAATGGATATGTCTTCTGGGCCAGATTCAATTTTCAGATCCAATCTTTCAAAGGCCAACACTAGGCTTTTACTTTACACACTACACTGGGCAAAACACATAACTAAAATTTAGTCACCATTCAATAAATTTGAATTTTAAAACACTGTAAAAGAAAAAAACTGATGGCCAAATGATGCCACTTCGAACTTCTCTGATGGTGCTGATTTATTAATATTTTCACAGTTAATTTTTCATAATCATTACTCCTTACGTGGAATATATATCTATGATAAGTCATGAAACATACCTTTTCTGAGTGTTTGAACTGACGCCAGTAACTATCATACATGCGCTTGGTAGTCCTCTCAGGATAGCAGGTCACTGTCTTAATGTAAACCTTCAGGCTTCGTTCAAGTAACTGATTAACTTCTCCATAATCATAGTCATCATACCTATAAGCAATGTGATAGCAAGCTTTAGGATGGCAGAATCAAAATTTCTAAAGTAATACCAAGACACAATAATTATCTAGTAATTAAATACCAAAAGTTCATTCATTAACTCATTTAAATAATAAATATTTGAGTGCCTACTATAAGCCTTGTAGTTTCCAAGTACTCCTTGAGGCACTGATGAAACACAAATGAACAAAATAGACAAAAATCCCTGGTCTCATGGAATCTCAAGTCTATTGGAGAAAGAAGAAAAATGAAAAAGAAAACTATATATATATCAGATGGTGACAACTGCTACGGAGATAAAATACAGCTGAGGGCTGGGAGGAGAGTTGTGATTTTAGATAGAGTGGGCAGGAAGGCTTCTCTAAGAGACTGACATCTAAGCTGATACTGGAAGGAGAAGGAGCAAGTGTAAAACCCTCAGGTAGGAGTCTACTGTCTCAGTGAAAGTGAAAGTCGCTCAGTCGTGTCTGCCTCTTTGCGACCCCATGAACTGTAGCCCGCCAGGCTCCTCTGTCCCTGGAATTCTCAAGGCAAGAATACTGGAGTGAGTAGCCATGCCCTTTCTCGAGGGGATCTTCCCGACCCAGGGATCGAACGCAGGTCTCCTGCTTGGCAGGCAGATTCTTTCCTGTCTGAGGCACCAGGGAAGCCCCGAGTGTCTCAAGGAAGAGGGAATAATCAACTGTGTCTGATGCTGCCGAGTAGGCAAAGAAGACACCATGGAGAACTGGTCGAGGTGAAGAGCTGTGGAGAGGCGAAGGGCAACCTCAGAAAGAGGAGTTCCATAGACTTGCTGCTATGCAGGAGTAAAAGCCTGACACTGCAGTCGATTCACAAGGAACAGGGGATAAGAAAATGGTGACACAGATACACAAAATGTTTTCAAAGGGGTCTGCTGTGCATGGGAGCAGAGGTGTGAGGCAGTAGCCAGAGGAAATTAAGGATGAAGAAAGGATGGTTTTTTGAGATGATGAGAGAAATAAAGTCATGTTTACATATTGATGGGAAAGATCCGATTAAGAGAGTAAAGATAGTTATGCAGGAGAGAGAAGGGAGAATTGCTAGAACAGGGATCTTTAGATGAGAGGAGATGGGGTTCTGTGCCCTAGTGCATAGGAGTGTAGATAGTTCATTCATAAGATGAGAGAAGAATAGCGTAAATGGGCACAGAAATAGCTATGAGGGTAAATGTAGTGGTGGGAGCTTGTGGGATTTTCCTTCTGTATTTTCAGTTTATTTTTAACCCAAGCATAATACTTAGTTAAAAAAAAAAAAAACACTGGGATTTTATATAAGCTTTATTTAGTAGCATCCAGCAGAGAAATATCACTATATTTATTTATTGTCTTAAATATATTATTTTGAATATAATATTAATTTATAACATGTATTAAAATCTGTTAGTGTTTATTTTTCTTAATTAGGTTGGTATAATATGTTTTAAAATGTGATGATTTTTTCTAGAATAGTAAATGGGCAAATAGTGGAGCTACTATTTACCATCATAATAGTATCTTTTAGGTAGAATATTTCATATTAGTTGACTTTTCCAGGAAATTTGGGATTTTTTTAAGTCAAAGTTATAGAAACCACTTTGCTTAACAAATAGAATACTAATTCCATTCCATAAGGGCTTTGTGATACTGTATCAGAAAGGATACAGTACAGAGTCAATTGAATGTATTCATAACTGGGGATTTTATCTTTCGGCAGATCCATCTCCACAGCAGTCTTCAAACCCAGCTCAAAAAGGATGTTCTCCAAGAAGAGCTTTCCTGATTAGACCACTCAGTCTCAATCACTCCTTCACTCTCGGTTCTCTCAATTCTAATCTTCTAAATTTAGGTGCCACTAATTTATTCTGACTTACAGCTTCATTTCCGTATTCTTACATGAGCTTATGTAAGTTTTATGAGGGCAGACTCTATCTTAGTTTCATTTATACCCAAATTATACCATACCTTCAAAAACCAACCAACCAACCAGCACTTGCTATAGTGATCTAACAGGATATCATGGGCTTCTCCTGTGGCTCAGCAGTGAAGACTCTGTCTGCAGTGCAGGAGAAGCAGGAGAGGCGGGTTTGATCCCTGGGTCGGGAAGATTCCCTGGACGAGGGCATGGCATCCCACTCCAGTGTTCTTGCCTGGAGAATCCCATGGACAAGGGAACCTGGCAGCCTAGAGTCCATGAGCTCACACAGAGTCAGTCATGACTGAGCGGCTGACACGCCTGCACAATGGCATATCATTTATACTTTTAAAAGGTTCAGTTCTTCCAGGAGAGATTCTCAAATGGAGAGCTTTTCTACTGTTCCTAGTGATTACTGATGTTTTTCCCCTCCTTAGTAAAATTTTACTACTGTATTTATATGTGCATATTAAGATATTTAAACCAAGAAAAATGCTCTTCTATAAAACAGAGTTAATTTTTCACAGTCAGGAGTCCACATGTAATTTTCTCCCCAGAAGTATATACTCTTAAACAGGATAAAGGTAAGACTCCTGTCAGAATTTTCATTTAGAAACATGTAGAACTGTCTCTATATGGATTTCCAGGTGGCGCTGGTAGTAAAGAACCTGCCTGCAAATGGAGGAGACTGAGAGACGTGGGTTTAATCCCTGGGTTGGGAAGATCCCCTGGAGAAGGGCATGGCAACCCACTCCAGTATTCTTGTCTGGAGAATCCCCATGAACAGAGGAACCTGGAGGGCTACAGTCCTTGGGATCTTAAAGAGCTGGACATGACTGAAACAACTTAGCGCACACACACAACTGTCTCTATGACAACCATACCTGATTCCAAACATACAGTGAACGTAGTTAAATAAAGCTCTACGCAGCATGGTTGTGTCCACGTCCTCATGGGTGGCCATAGTGTTATAGGTGAGATTGTAGACCATGCGGAACTTCTCATCAAGAAGATGTCCAATATCAGAATAAAGTCTGTTCACCAGGGAGAACCCATGATTTTCCCAGGTATAGTCCTAAAAGAATAAAATGTATTACAAAATGGTCACGCTCCACTTAAAAGTCTATGTTTTGGGAAGTATAACCACTGAAGCAAGTAAGTGGAGGATATTTCAAAGTCTGGAATCCTTTCACGGATTCTAAGTTCATCACTTCACCAAGACTGCTTTGCCAACACATCAGTTTGTAGATGGAAGGGCCGTGCTCCTTCCTCACTGGGTCCAGGATGAGGCACACTGGTGAGAAACTCTGGCTACTTCCCGTGGTCATGTACTGTGCAAACTACGCCTCATCTGGAAGGACCCCAGAAGGCCCTGGAATTTTCCTACGTGACTAAACCTACTCAGTGACATGGATGGCTAGCAGATCATCTGAAACAAACACAGAGGAGTCTGTCTTCGATCTCGCCTGCACTGTCTTTATGAACCACATCGCTACTGTGGCTCTTATCTAGGGATGGGGAACAGGTGGCCCTTCAGTCCATAATTATAGACATATGGCCTTTTTTATAAAAATGCCTTCTTATTATAAATGTGAACATATCACTCAATTTCCTCCCTGCTTCTCTCCAAAACATGAACATGATACTACTACCATGCAATAACGCAAGTAACCACATAAAGCAGTTTCCTTTTGCCTTCTTGGGGTTGCAGGTAGAGGGGATGCTGAAATAATAATCCATCAACTGGGACATCAAATTAGACAAGGTTGAAAAGTAGGTTAAATAAAGATATTTATAGATTCTACCAAAATGATCTATTAGTTTCTTTGGGAGTCAACTTATTCAACATTTCACAGTTAAAATGACAGTATCTTTTCTCCAATTTCTCTCAATTAAAGGTGTCTCATACCTGAGCTCGGAAAGTTGGCAAATGTTCCTCCCCTCGTCTGGCAAAGTCTTCATATCCAAAACCAGGGTCTTCAATATATCGGGAGACATCAGATGTTATAATCATGTCATCCTCAAAATCTAAGGGCAATAATGAACAATCTGGTGTTAAGAACGCTGTACAGAGTTAGAACAATGAATTAACTGCACTTTCTTTCCATTTTTCACTTTAGCTTTTCCAAGGATTTCCACAGTGACAATATTGACTACATGCCTTACATTCACACAAAATACCTTTTGCTCAAATTTTGAATACAATTTCATTACTAAATACTGGCAACTGTAATATTTAGCTGTAGCTATTCAGGCAAAAAATTGACTAAATTAAAATATCTAAATACTACTTTAGCCAAAAAGTTCACTTGGGATTTTCTGTAAGATGTTACAGAAAAATGTAAATGAACTTTTTGGCCGACCCAATGCAAACATTTTTTTCCCTAAATTTACCTTTAGAAGTTAAAAATTTCTTAAAAAGGAGTTAAAATTAATATTCTGACAAATCTAAAACTCTAATTAATTTTAATTCTATTTAAACAAATGTTTCAAACTCTGGACTCAAAGGAAATAGTACTTTGCATATTATCACCATTCTTCTGCTCCTAGGAGATGGATACAAATAAAATACAGAAAATACTATGTTACAGTAATGGAACATCATTCTAATTTGAAAAGCAGAAAACTAATACATGCTAGTCAACTCTGTTACCAAGCTATAGAATAGTACCCTTGTAGAAAACTTCAAACATTTTCTTCAAAAGACTTGAAAAACTATTCTTAGAATCTCTAAATGGAATCTGAAATGCTTTATCATACTGATCAAACCAAGAAACTTGTTATAGGGAAAAATAAGTTTCTATTTCCATTTTAAAACACGGTAAGTCTACAAAAATAACTCAGCCACATACTGAGTCATTCTTCTCTTATCTTTGTGTGACCAGCAGATTTAGTACTGGGAATGGTGAAGAGTAAAGAATGAAACAATTTATTTCCTAATTTAAAAATGATATAGCCTCTTGTTTAAATCAGAATATAACTTTCCACCAAGGTCTAAGACTTGCTGGTCAAAGTTCACTTTAGAAGGCAAAAGTCCTTGCTCAAGCATCCAAGAAGGGAAAGAATGACATTCTAAAATATACTTTCAATAATAAGAAAAGGGCTTCCCCAGCGGCTCAGTGGTGAAGAATCTGCCTGCCAATGAAGGAGGTACAGGTTCGACCCCTGGTCTAAGAGGATCCCACACGACACGGAGCAAAAGCCTGTGCTCTAAAGACTGACTGCTGCAATTACTAAAGCCTGTGTGCCTAGAGCCCACGTTCTACAACAAGAAAAGCCACAGAAATGAAAAGTCTGAGCACTGCAACTAGAGAGTAGCACTATTAAAATAGCCAGGACATGGAAGCAACATAGATGTCCATCGACAGACACTTAGGCAAAGAAGTTGTACTACATATATACAATGGAATACTACTCAGCCATAAAGGAACGAATTTGAGTCAGTAGTAGTAAGATGGGTGAATCTTTAAAAAAATTTTAATAAGAGAGTAGCCCCCACTCACCACAACTAGAGAAAAAGCCTGTGCAGCAATGAAGACCCAGCACAGTCAAGAATAAATAATTAAACAAAAAAATTAAAAGAAATAAAACATTTATGTCCTTCAAGCTCTAGTGGTCTTAGAGATGCTTTAAAAAAAATCAATGTCTAAGGAATTTCTTGGTGGTCCATTGGTTAGGACTCTGAGCTTCCACTGCAGGGCACCTGAGTTCAATCCCTGGTTAGGGAACTAAGATCTCGCAAGCTGCCCAGCATGGCCAAAAAAAGATAAATAAATAAATAAATACTGTCTGTGCCATCTTTCACTGCCATTCAGCTCCAAATACTTTCTAATTTCCACTGCAACTTTTTATTTCCCTATGAACTATTTAGAAGTATACTGTTTTGTTTCTAAACATTTGAGAAACTTATAGTTATCCCTTACTGATTTCTAGCTTACTTCTGTTACAGTCAAAAGTTATACCCTGTAAAGTTAAAATCTCTTAAAATTTGCTGATACTTGCTTTATTAACAGTATATGGTTGATATTGGTAAATTTTCTATGTGCACTTGAAAATAATGGTATAGGCTGCAGTTTGGGATACAGTGTTTTATTTATGTCAGGTCAAGTATGCTAAATAAGTTTACTCTCTTTCTCTGGATTTTGTGTCTACTTACTTTTAGTTATAAAGAGATGTATATTAGAATTTTTCACCCCATGTGACCCCATGGACTGTAGCTGCCAGGCTCCTCTGTCCATGGGATTTCCCAAGCAAGAATATTGGAGTCGGTTGCCATTTCCTTCTCCAGGGGATCTTCCTAATCCAGGGAAAGAACCTGCATCTCTTGCATTGCAGGTGGGTTCTTTACCACTGAGCCACCAGGCAAACCCAAATTTTTCAGACTTACAAAAATTAATGTCTGAAAGTAAATACATACTACTAACTTTAATACAATGTTTGCATTTTAAAATATTGGCTTCCCTGGAAGGTTTAACCTAGGCTCATTACTTTCCTTTGTCCCAGTTGTTTTCTCTGGATGATTTTTTATAAACAGCTCTTTTGATTTTAACTCCCAAATATATACCGATAACTTCCAAAACTTTATTTTGGGCTTAAAACCTTCTCCTGTTCAACCCTGGCTGCTCCAAGTGTGGTGTGCAGGCCAGCAGCATGGGCATTACATGAAGCCATGAATGAAACCTAGCTTCTCAGGTCCTGGTGCAGACAGACTGAACACAAATCTGCATTTCAACAAGATTCCTCAGTGATTCACATGCATATTAAAGTCTGAGAGGCAGTTGTAGATGTTTCCAGACTGGAGGTTTTATAGACATCACAACTCAACATGTCGCAAATATGGCTGGTTACATGATCTTTAAGGCTGGAAAGGTCATCATGATAAGGCCTCTATCTACCTAATCAGCTTCCTGTTCACAATACCTACCTCATGTGTCACGTCCTAACAACGCAGAATCAACTGCTCCTGCACCCACCATCCTGTTTCCTCACCACTGTGCGTTGGCTCAGGCAGATGTGCTGTTTACCACCAACTCCCCATCCCCGAGCCACTGCCTGACTCCCCTGCACTCAAGTCTCTAAGGTTTAGCTTACAGCCAAGCGGCTGGAGGAGGTCTTTCCCCAGGACCCCTTCTGTCCACACTGCTCCGTCTCCATCACTGGCTCCGTTTACTCCTCACTTTCTGCTCTGTATTGCAGTTATTTCTCTCTCTCCCACTAGCAATGAGAGCCTGCAGAGGGCAGCAATCACGTCTCATTTAGCCTGAAAACATGCCTACCACTCTGCTGAGTCTACGTGGAGTACAATGAATGTCTGTAGTATGAATAGCAAACCAGTAACTGAAACGCTTCTTTATGTTTGGGATTTCCTGCTGGTCAGAAGTTCTGAGAAATTATTAATAAATATACTCAATTTGGTAAATAAAATCTTTCATAAAAGAAATCACTGGGGAAATGATAAAAGAGGGATCTCGTTCTTCCTGGTAAAATTTCTGAGAGCTATTGGTCAATGCCATATTTAATATTAACAAACCAGTCATGGCCAAATCAATTACCCTCAGGATTTATGAAACTGACTAACCTCATGACGAGTCATTTTGAAGCCCTCTTTTAAACCTACAGAGCTCTACTTTAAATGTTAAGTAGATTGATGACTTGGAAGGGTTTAAGCTTTCAAAGCCTACTGAATCCATGCTATTTTAATAACATGTACTATGTGGTGTTCAATATCTTTTTAAGTTGTAATTGAAAAGTTTCCCTCCTATTTCAAAGTCTCTCAGAGTATTAGGAAAAGAAATGTATTTTAAAGACTAAAGCAAAGAAGTCTTTTGATACAGAAAAGCCTAACTTTTAATACAGGATGAATTCCTCCAAATTCAACCTAAGAAAATGACCTGAATAATACATTTTTATATAATTCCAAAGGTTTCTCCAAAGAAATGCAAATGCAAGTGCAGTGTAACTTTAGAAATAATCTGGAAAAAACCAGCAGTGTGAGAACAATCCTCCCACACACTCCACACCCACAAAAAAGGAAGAGATATTTCTTACAAATTACATCTATTGAAACAGGATTTTACTTATCACTAAAAAAAATCACACAAGTAGGATGAGTTAAATACTCTTATCTAACTTTATAAGCAGTTGGTCTGCTCTGAATAACATTTTATCCAGGATACAAGCATGAACTGCATACATAGCTGAAGTACCTCTCAACTGATCTGAAATATATTCAAAGATGCAGCAAACACAAGAGGGGAAGCAATAGTATCAGCATCAGGTAGAAGAGAACTAAATAGAAGAAACGTGATAGTGGAATCATTCCGTTATCCATATGGAAAATATTGAAGGTGGTCTGAGGTGGTCAGTCAGGGTTCTAAGAACAACAGGGATCTTCCCGACCAAGGGATGGAACCCGGGTTTTCTGCATTGCAGGCAGATTCTTTATTATCTGAGCTACCAGGGAAGTCAAAGGCAAAGACAAAAGGCAAAAACAGTGAAATAGAAAAAGCACCTGAATGAGGAAATGAATGAAAAGTATCTCCAGAGACCACAAAAAGACTTTCTTTCTTCTCCTTTTCAAAGCGAGTGGTCATTTCTTCCTGAGATGCCTCTTCATCTTCCCTTTCTTCTTGAAGCCTTTTCATTCTTTCCATTAAGGCCTCTAGCTCACTTAGAGAATCGACAATCTGGAGCCAGAGAATATAATATTGGGTGTTATTAATATTAAAAGTTGTTCTAGTAAATGTCTCCATCTCCCAATGTCACCTTATGTACAGTGGCACTAGCATAGTCATTAATTTCCTAAGTGGGCTTTCCAGTAACTCCAAAGAAAATCATATGGGAAAACCAACATTTTCAGAGGTATAGTGTTTCTGCTTCAGCCATAAACACAGAAAGTTTATAGGAATGGATTTATTTAATCTAGAATTCTACTGGGTTGGCCAAAAAGTTCATTTAGGTTTTCCCATAATAGCTTTCAGAAAAATGCAAACAAACTTTTTGGCCAACCCAATACAACAGAATTTGATATATATTAGATTATATTATCACTTATTTCTAAAACTGGGACAGCCTTACAAGCCTTTTGATTTGTAATGGCTTTAAAAGCCTCCTTAAGACAATTCAGAACTTCAGGAACAGGTTAAATTTTTAGGATAATAAAAAAATTATACAAAATATTTCAAGCCTATAATATCCTGTTTAATCAGATAATTTCTCTAGATGTTTTTTTAACATAGCAAGTTTAAAGGCAAAGCAGTAAAGAAAAACAGTTAAGAAAACGAACCCCGAAGTTGCTGCCTGTAAGGGATGCATTCTCTATGTTGTTGTCATTAGCGAGATCACACACACAGAAATTGTTGACTGGTATTAGCCTGAGTCCATTGGAGATTTCTGGATCTCTTTCTGGATTGATGCCACTACCAAAAACAAAGCTTGCCAAAGCATGATAATGAGCCAGTAGGACCACAGCATGTACCAGTTCAGGCAGAGACCAATTATTTTCTCCAGTTTTGACAAGTTTCTGAAATGAGAAAGCCAATCAAGAATAAAAGTGAAAACCACAGAATGTTACAAAGCAATTTTAGAAAGTATTGAAAAATGTATAAAATTTCATATGTCCATTTATAGTAATAATACTTAAAATTCCATTTAAACTGTTTCATATATTAAAGATACAGCTTTGGTCAAACAATATTACATTAAACTTATCAAAACTAACAACAGAATTACATTATGGCTTCTCTGAAATTCCTTATACATGTAATGGAGTTTCTGTTTCCAAAGCACTTTTCTATATTATGCTATTTTAAAAAGGTATTTTAGAGAATCCAAGAACATTTATGCTAGAAGGGACTTTAAAGTTGCTCTAGCAAGATCATTCATTTGAAGGTTTTAAAGGTAGAGACTACCTTAAGAATAACATAAATATTTAATTCAGTAGGTCAACTTTTAATTGTCTTTTAGATATTGTCTCTGATAGAGAAAGAACCTACAGCAGATGATAGACACTGTAGAAAACTACCTCACATTTGAAGAGACATTAAAAAAAAATCTGCTCTATTTAAAATGGATAACTAACAAGGTCCTACTGTACAGCACAGGTAACTCTGCTCAATGTTATGCAGCCTGGATGGGAGGGGAGTTTAAAGGAGAATGCATATGTGTATATGTATGGCTGAGTCCCTTTGTTATCCACCTGAAACTATCATAACAATGTTAACTGGCTATAATCCAATACAAAATAAAAAGTTAAAAAAAAATAACCCAACAAAAACAAAACAAAAATATCAGAGCACTTTTTTTACATGCTATTTTACTGGATCTTCCATATGAATGGGCTTCCCTGATAGCTCGGTTGGTAAAGAATCCATCTGCAATGCAGGAGACCCTAGTTGGATTACTGGATTGGGAAGATCCGCTGAAGAAGGGGAAGGCTACCCACTCCAGTATTCTGGCCTGGAGAAATCCACAGACTGTATAGTCCATGGGGTCGCAAAGTGTTGGACATGACTGAGAGACTTTCACTTTCACTTTTTCCAGATGAATGTTGGAATCATAAGTGAAGCCATTAAACACAATAACAATTCTAGCTATTAATCCATTCAAGGTTTTCCCCATCAACCCTTATCTATTAATCTATCTCTCAGTGTGTGTATGGGGGTCTGTTCTCAAATCTAAAACTTTCACTTGGGTCACTTCACATCTAAAAACTAAAACCAAAAAACTGCTTTTGCTTTACTCTCCATTATTTAACTACATACAAATTTAATACATTACCAAAAGTTCAGGGGGTTAAAAAGGAAAAATCAATCATATTCTACCACTTTAATGTAACTTTTACATATCTTATTTTATGTTTAAAAAGTATAATTAAATAATCAGAGTATACATTTTTCTCTGCTTTTCAAACTTTTTGAAAAATTTGATTTTCATGAGGCTCCTCTGTCTTCAATTAATTATATTAAGCATGGGCATATTATAGCCCAGAACTACAGTTCCATTTCCTTACACATTTAAATTGCTTCTAAATTTCTTATTTGCTACTATAAATAACACCTTTATGCTACAGCTTTGTTCATATTTTATAAACAAGCCCTAATAGATAATACAAATCTGAGAGTATACAGACTGACAAAAGCTAAGTTTGGTTTAACTGGGCAAATAACTAACAAAATGAGGGAAAAAACAAAACCAAGGACATTTCTAATGCATTAGAAGAAGGGATTTTTAAGTACCTAAGGCTTCTACTGATAATGATTTAGCTGATGACCCCTACTAACTGAATAGTGCCAAGCATGGTGCTAAGCATGAATTCAACAACCTCATCCCGTAGGCTTTTCACAGATGCTACTTTTGAAGGGCAAGTGCTCCAGTCAATCACAGTTCTCTTTCCTCTTTCTTACCTAAGTTCTAGTCTCTAGAGGCATGTAAGTATATACACATCAGTTGGCAAATCACTTTTATTTGCAAAATCATTTTTTCAAAATCTTAAAATTATGAAATGTTAGAACTGCAAAAGAGTTTAGAACTCATTTCATCTAGGCATCTCATTTATAGAAGGGTGAACTACCAAGGCCCACAAAAGTTAACTTACTAAAGGTCACACATTTTGTAGTTAATAGAGTTAAAGACTAGAACCTACATATGTTATCCTCCTAAAGCATTTTCTTTGTTCTGCCTACTGCTTGAAAATAGAAATCAACTATTCTTATAGTTATTTGCTAATTACTGATTACTTAAAGAGAAGTGGACTTCCCTGGTAGCTCAGCTGGTAAAGAATCTGCCTGCAATGCAGGAGATCCCTGTTCAATTCCTGGTGGGGAAGATCCACTGGAGAAGGGAAATGCTACCCACTCCAGTATTCTGGCCTGGAGAATCCCATGGACTATATAAGTCCATGGGGTCACAAAGAGTCAGACATGACTGAAAAGACTTTCACTTACAGAGAAGTATTCATTTATATTTAACTTAAACCCACTGACTTCTGTTGTCTACACATTTTAATACACTATTTTATTTATTTTTCAAATTCCTAACATGCAAGTATTTCAAATTAAGTCTTAAGCAAAATATTTAACTGAAAATAACTCTTACTAAGAATCATTAGTAAAATTTCTTTCTCCCCTAAAGAAATACTCAGTACCTGAATGTGCTCTTTTGTGATCAGCCAGGGTCGGTGTGCTAACAGCTTGTTTATTTCATTAAGATTTTTCAGTCTTTGTGGTACATATTCCAAACCATTCAACCATTCAGCAATACCTCCTGTCTTTAAAAATTCATCCACATGCATGTTTATTAAGTAAGAACACTGATGTCTAGCTGCAGCCTACAACACACAAAAAAAGAGTTGGTAGATAAAACAGTCATGGTATGGTCTTATTATACAATTACTAAGACAGTCATTTAAAGTTCATTTTTATAGCTAATAATTCTTTTCTTAGAGAATGCTCTTCCTAAAACTTTCATCACAATGTTGTCATAGATTCTTAAATCAATACATAAAACTGATACTTAATATAAGTAAATGTCACATGAAGCCAATTACTTCCTCATCCAGAAGTGGTAGGGGTCAATCTAGAACCTATTTTCTATTTATGTGAAGGAAGTATATGTTCATTTCATTATGGTAAATGATATCAACTGTATTCTATTTAAAACACAAAGAAATCTCATTAACTTGTACCAATTCAGAATATATACTAGTTTGAATATTTTTCTTATTCCCTTTGAAATAACTGTGAATCAGCCTTATCTGTGCCCATCCTCCTATTGAAATGAAACTGAAGCTCACTGACCCTTTCCTAGGCAGGCCAGAATAAGCCTTGATAAATTGGTAAATCCATGCAAAACAGACTTTTCACCGCTCGTTTCCTCAATTAAATAGTACTGTTTTACTCTGTTTTCCACATCTTATTTCTCTGTCCGTGACCATTCTAAGTTGGCTTTCAGCCTTAGTGTCGTCAAAACCTTAAGCTGAGTAATCGTAGTCAAGTTCATCATTTAATAAAACACAGGATGCAGCACTTTTTTTGTTGTTTACAACTTCAGTGAGAGCATAAACAAATTAACCTTGATAAAAACTAACTCCTGGCTGGCTCTGATCGCTCTGCCAGCCCAGATGTTCCCCTAACGTCTCCAAACACATTGCACTTGCATCCTGTTCTTTTCTCCAGCAACAGTCCAACTATAGCACTGTTTCTATCTTCTTATTCCTGCTGCCCATCATCCCAATTTATAATTTTCTCCCTCTCAAACATTAACTAGTTAACTAGCTTGTACCAAGTACTAAACTTGGAAGTAGTATAACTTATTTAAGAATTCTTCTCTGACAGAGTCACCTTTGGTGCTAATACTTTGCTATTATTTAGCCAAATTAGTGATATTCTTCATGTACAGAATGACTAAATAAAAAGTCACAACCAACCTGTTTTATATTAATACTGAAAGAAAACTATTAGGAGTAAAAAGAAAATTTGAGGGACACTAGGAACATTTACTTTCGACCCTATAAACATCTTTAATCATGAGATTAAACGTGGGAGACGACTTTACTAATAATTAAATCAGAAACATTCAGTATATTAAGTGGGTTACAACATTCAAGATGTAACCAGTGGATTTGGAATCCAAAAGGTCACAAGCTTCTTGAGTTATTGTTTCCGTGAAATTACACTTAGCTCTGCACCACACGTAATACCAGCAGGGAGAGGGACTAAATGAGGACAAAGTCACGTGAACACAGGAACCGGAAGTGAGCGCACCATGATGGCGATGTAGTGCCGGTGCGGTAGAGGGAGGGGGCCATCCATGCGCAGCATGTAGAACTGGCTCCTCAGGAAGGACTCCAGGTACTGCGTGTGCAGGCTCATGACCTGGGTGATGTTGTCCAAGCGACCGGATGTAGAGTATTCTTCCACAAGAAAGTTAGTACGTTCATCCACTGTGTTTGCCTGGACAACCTTTCAACCAAGAAACACAAAACAAAATCACGACTGAGAAGTAAACACACCAGTGGTTTAGATGCATTATTCCACGACTGAAGCCAGTGAAGATCCTTTTGATATTAACAGACACTGAAATAATGCAGTTGTTCATACTAGAAACAGAAATGAAAACAAAAGCACCATTCATTTTTGGTTCTGGGACCACAATTTATTAAACAACAAATGTCAAATTATCAAACATTATACACACAGCTATGAAATTGGAGAAAAGAAGCTTCCATCTGCTTTGCCAGGCACATAAGGCAAAAATTTTCAGGGCCTGCTTGCCTGGCTATTGTCACACCAATTCGTGGGGAGGGAAAGCATTCAGAATTTTCTCTCAATAGCCTATGAACACACTTAATGACTATATCTTAGGACAGACATTTTTCAGTCTCATCCCTTGCTTGTTTTCATTATTCAACATTAAAAAAGCTTTCTGCAGTCTTTTTTGGGGACAAAGAAAAATAGGATAATTTGTAGGAAAGTGTTAATTGAAAAATTAATAGGACACTAGATTCCCATTTTAAGCTTATTATATTAATTACTAGAAACAAGGTAAGTTATTAAAATGGATGTGCAGCATCTGAGAAAATCAAAAGGACTTTCTCAAAAATAGATTATTTACATACAGGTTTATAAACAGTGACAGCTTAGGCGTCATACCAACAATTGGCTTCTGAAGGTGTTAAGAGCTTATTAGCACCCCGTGGAAGGACTTGTTTCAGTGGGAATCAATGGACATCAGATGTGTATTTCTTGGCTTGGTTCATTATTTATTGGCATTTTAGAATTAGAGTTCTAGACTTAAGAAGAATTTGTCCCTTATTTTAGATAAGGTAACAGACTCAAGATTAAATGTCAGTTCATATAGCTATTTAATAGCAGAGCCTGGTCTAGAATCTCCTCAAATCTAGACTCATGGTCTTTCTAAAGATCCACACTTGCTCTTAAGAAGCTCTGTTTACTTTTCAGCGCTGACTTCACAAGCTCTTCTGAAGATAAGTAGAGATTATACAAAGGCACTATTGATTGAGGAAAATTTAATCCCAAAGGAAATGTAATGTTTGAAAAGTGTTAATTGTGAAGAAATGTTAATTACAACGGTGTAAAAAAAAAGGCAATTCCACTTTGGCTCACTATAAAACCAAATGTATCTCCATTTGTTCATGTCCTCCCATTTTGTCAACTACAGGGAACCAAGACGACAGTTAAAAATGGAATAGGATCATGATAAACTCTATATAATTAGGGACAGGATATTTGTTGTTTTTGTTTTGTTTTCCAGCAGAAGATTCTTCTGCTTAACTGATGCCTAAAAGACATTAATAGATTCATACGATGCAACAGAGCCTGAAAACAGCCGTTGCTGCTGCAAACCAGATTGTCTCCAAATACATTCTGTGTAAATGGCAGTATTTCAGGAAGTCTTTATATATGTATTAGGCAATCACTCTGCTTAAGAGCAGCCAAGTGCTCTATGAGGGAAACAGGACAAGCCCAACAATTTCTCTAATGCGTGGTCACCACCTAGATCAGCTACAGTCCCTGAGCTCCTGAAACATTACAGGTAACTTTGGAGTTTCATGTAAATGGCAAGGTCACTAAAAAGGCAAAATGAACATGGTGGAACTGCTGACTCTAGTGATGACTTGACATATATTATTATTCAAATTCTACTCATTCTTTAAGGGATACCTGAGACATCATATGTACTCTAAATATGTGTTGACTGATTTCTGAACAATATAGGAATAATGCTAGCACTTTAAGATAAATGATATCTTTTATAATTAATAAATAGTAAATCAGTATATATAGCCAATAGTAACTCAGTATATATAACCATGGTTAATATGAGTTAATAACTCCTTGAAGCTGTGAAAAACTCAATTAGTGGGCCTTAAATTTTTCTTAGCCCAAGTATAAGTTAAAGGCAGCTAGGAATCTCCAGGTCCTAAACATTGCTGTGATCTTTCATAGAGATGTATACCCACTAAACAGGCACGAAAATTTTCTTATAGTATCTTTTGTGTCATTTCACAAACTTTCTTTCTGCATTTACCATCTTGACTCCTCTAGCTTCATCAAAAGTGCAGCTTGTAGTGGAGATTCTCTGACATTCTGTCTCATGAGAGACTTAGAACCAAATGAAAAGATTAATTACTAGTGATATAATATCATGTTTCCTTCAATAGATTTGGGAAACTTACTTTTTCATTTTAAAATGTCTTTTCTTAACATTTATGTAACCTATAATCACCGTGAAACACTGGCCATTTTAAAACCTTAAACCTACATGATAATATTAAGTTTTATTACTGTTAGCAGCTTTGTTCAGAAATGCTGTATTTGAAATCAAATATGGTAAAATTTATATTTTTCTAAACTTGCAGCACTGTCTAATTCCAAATAAGACGATTATTACACATACAATCTTTCAAGTGAAGTTGAAAATACTTCTGTGGTTTTCTGACAAATAAGAATAAGAGCAAAACACATGTTTACTTCCATATTAAAAAAATGCAGATATTCTTTGACACAATTGAGTTATTTTTAAAATCACTACATATATATTAAGACAGATTGACTTACTTCCTTCTCTGGAATAAAGGCACTTGGTCCTCTTGTCAAGGGTTGAGATACTCTGATTCTTTTATCCTGTTTTTAAAAGAAAAGTTTTATGTATTAATGATGACTTTCCATGAAAAGTTAAACTGGTATAAATTGCTAAATTATAAAATAAATGGAATAAGTAAATAGAATTATGTAAAATCAGAGTGTTAGGTCTTGGATTCCGCCCCTTCCAGCCGCATAACAAACAACAGCAAACAACCGATGGGGTCATTGTATGAACAAGATAATGAGACAGAAAGCTCCTACCACAGTGCTGGGTACACAGGCAGGCTCCTCAAATATTATTTCCCTCAGTCATATTCTATAGCACCAGAGAATTTTTAGCCCATATTTCACATGACTGGAAACCATCAGCCTCCATAATAAAATCATATCTAATAGTATATTAGGACACTGTTAAACCTCAATTTGAAAGCTAAAGGAAAAGTTAGATTCTAAGAGTATTACACATAACCTCCTAAAGCAATGGTCTTATTTCTGTTTTTCTTTCTGAATAAAATAGGAATAGGCATATCTAATATAAGCTTCTGAAGCTTTAGGTAAGAAAAATGTAAAACATGGATAAGTAGAGGTTAATTTAACCTGAGAAATGGAGACTATAACAATGTTTATTGTTCTATCGCTATTCTACTTAGTACTAATAACTGCCAGATTACCAATGGTATGTCTGTGTTCATTTTAACTTTTTTTTAAAATATGGTTTTTGTGGCCCCATTTAAGTACATTCATCTATAAGTCAGAAAAACTCCCATCAGGAACGAAATTCCTCCTCTCCCGGCATAAGGAAGAGCAGGCAGAGTCAGAGGCAGACTCTCAGGTTTTGAGACCCTTCTTACCAGGAGAAGAGATGGGGGGAATGGCTACTTGATTTTCTATAATTAAAGTAATAAGTTTGTGAAATAGAAGCCCTCCAAAGTCGTGCCATAAAAACAGGGACTATGCTGCGGTTTATGAATATTCTAACGACTGAGTGAGAGACTGAAGAACAGGGGAAGGAATGTTAACAGGAGAGGAATGTTAACATTAAGCTTGCCCTTCTCCCCGCTCCCTCCTTCCCTATCTCTTTCTCAGCAAGGTAGCCTGAATCTTTTTTGTTCCTTACAGTCCAAGAGTCTACCAAACACAAAAAAAGTATTTGAATCCCTGACTTCATTAGGAAGCAGTCAAGTATTCAATAATCTTTTGAGAACCTAACCAGATACCGTGGTAGCCTCAAGATACAGGGTGAGCAAGATAGACATGGGCCCTGCCCTCAGAAGTTTGGCACACAATCTCCAACAATTTTCAGGGTGCTAGTGAGATAAATATATTAAATAATGATCATCTTAAACTGCTAGTGCTTTGGGAAGAACTAATCATCTAGGTTATATTTGTCAAGGGATGACAAAGAGATCTCAATCTGCTGGTGAAGTACATTAGAAGATTCTATGTCAAAAGAAACAATTTAGAATTTCTAATATTGGTATTTCTTGCCTGCATCAACCATCATCTGGGTTTACCTAGAAAAATAATTAAGAAGAAAATGACGGACTTCTTCCCTTTGCTAGTCTTGGTAAATTATAAGAAATAAAAATTTGAATACTCTCTATATAACACAGCCTAATGCACCAGTATGTGAAAGGCAATTTCCTTGACAACTGATCATTTCAAATAAACAAAGCAGTTAGACGAACTGATTGTGAGGACAGATCACAGGTTTGAGGGGGAAAATGTCCAAAGGGAGATAAGTGGAGTCTTTTATATATATTTATTTTTAAAAATACATGAAATTCAGAGAAAATATAGGGAGAGAAAAATAAACTAAAAGTGTACAAAGGGACTTTGGAGATAGAGAATGATTTATTTTTTAAAATCATTACTTGATATATTTATCAACTGATTTACCTTTAAAGGTCTGAAATAGTTATTTTGCCTACAGAAATATTTTCTGGATTGGCCAAGGTTTAAATCTGAAATACATTTTCATCACAGGTGGAACTGCATACTATTATACTTAAAAAGAATATAACATCTGTTAATTTTAACCAGTTGATAAGCAACTGATATGATTTCATTTGTGTCAACACTCATTTGTTCATCTATTCAGCAGATATTCACTGAGCATTCACAATGTGCTGCTGCTGCTGCTAAGTCGTGTCAGTCGTGTCCGACTCTGTGCGACCCCACAGACGGCAGCCTACCAGGCTCCGCCATCCCTGGGATTCTCCAGGCAAGAACACTGGAGTGGGTTGCCATTTCTTTCTCCAATGCAGGAAAGTGAAAAGTGAAAGTAAAGTTGCTCAGTCATGTCAGACTCAGCGACCCCATGGACTGCAGCCTACCAGGCTCCCCCGTCCATGGGATTTTCCAGGCAAGAGAACTGGAGTGGGTTGCCATTGCCTTCTCCGTCACAATGTGCTAAGTACAGCCAAAGAATTGATGCTTCTGAACTGTGGTGTTGGAGAAAACTCTCGAGAGTCCCTTGGACTGCAAGGAGATCCAACCAGTCAATCCTAAAGGAAATCAGCCCTGAATATTTATTGGAAGGACTGATGCTGAAGCTGAAACTCCAATACTTTGGCCACCTGATGCAAAGAACTGGCTCATTGGAAAAGATCCTGATGCTAGGAAAGATTGAAGGTGGGAGGAGAAGGGGACGACAGAGGATGAGATGGTTGGATGGCATCACTGACTTGATGGACAAGAGTTTGAGTAAGCTCTGGGAGTTGGTGATGGACAGGGAAGCCTGGCATGCTGCAGTCCATGGGGTCACAAAGAGTTGGACACAACTGAGTGACTGAAGTACAGTGGGGACACAAAAAAGTAATAGACTGGCAGAAATGCATTAACTATATCATAGTTTGTATATGCATACACAAAGCAGTATGGAATTACATCATTTTATGAATCATCATTTACTTAGTCAGTTGCTTCCCCAATGGTTCAGTGAATAAGGAAGCTGCCTGTGATGCTGGAGACATAGGAAATGTGGGCTCAATACCTGGGTCAGGAAGATCCCCTGGAGAAGGGAATGGCAACCCACTCCAATATTCTTGCCTGGAAAATCCCATGAACAGAGGAACCTGGTGGGTTCTAGTCCATGGAGTCACAAGAGTTAGACATGACTTAGCCACTAAACCACCATGGTTTATGTTGGTGTATAGTTTATGGTGGTGTATGTATGGTTTTATTACCGTAAATAGTGAATAGATATGATGAATATCTTTGTATAAAGAGACTTGGGGGCATATTTTGCAGTATTTAAGATGGTTTCTTTAGAAAGATTCCTAGATGTGGATTTATTGGGGTTTAGGTTATAAATCTTTAAAGTTCTTGTTGCATACTACCAATATGCTGATGAAAAAATGCTTTACCAATTTTATTTTCATCAGTTGAGAAAATGTTCACTTAACTCACTAACATCAGAAGTGAAAGACAGCCTTCAAAAAATGTTTCTGAAACTTTTAATTGGATACACGGTGGTGGTGTTGGTGGTGGTGACTAGGTCACTAAGTTATGTCTTGACTCTTGCGACCCATAGACTATGGCCTGCCCTCTGCCTATGGGGTTTCCCAGGCAAGAATACTGGCCTGAGTTGCCGTGCCCTCCTCTAGGGGATCTTCCCAACCCAGGGATGAACCCTCATCTCCTGCATTGGCAGGTGGATTCTTTACCACTGAGCCACCAGGGAAGCAATTGCATACACAGTTCAGATAAAAATTCCGTAGGCAGAGTTGTGGATCAGATCTGTGTTTTTAATAATACAATTCTTGGTGTGATACAGTCACTCCAGAGGCAGAAAAAAAAAACAAACCCCAAACAAATAAAAATACCCCAAAAGAGAAACAAACAAACCCCCAGCTAGGAAGCTATTGCAATAGCCGACCGAGGAGGGCAGAGATGATGTGGCCTCACCTAAAAGAGCTATTTATACACTGAAAAATGAGAGTCACTCTGTCATGTCCGACTCTTTGCGACCCCATGGACTACAGTCCATGGAACTCTCCAGGCCAGAATACTGGAGTGGGTAGCTGTTCCCTTCTCCAGGGGATCTTCCCAACTCAGGGATCAAACCCGGGTCTCCCACACTGCAGGCAGATCCTTGACTGTTTGAGTCACGGGAAGCCCATGGAAGAGAAGGGAAAAACTAACACTTTAAAATTATACCAACATGTAGCCTTCTTCAGTTATATTTTAAAAATGGTGTCACTATTGAGAGAATCAGCCTACTTCCTGCTTCTGTAAAAGAAGCGTCTTTTCTGGTGAGGATACTACTATATACAACTGCTTTGTATATTTATATGAAGGTAAAAAAGTTCTTTCAATGATCAAAGCAGTTTATAAATTCTCCTTAAAATTCATTCTACTGAACGCTTATTCCCCACCTACTTTCTATCTCTGTATGTTTTTAAAGTCAATAAAATAAAACACAAAAGAAGTAGGATAGTACTGTTGACTTAAAAAACAGTCATAACCTAAACGTTGAGTGAGTGAGTGAAGTCTCTCAGTCATGTCTGGCTCTTTGTGACCCCATGGACTATAGGAGCCTACCATACTCCTTTGTCCATGGGATTTTCCAGGCAAGGGTACTGGAGTGCCTCCTTGGAGGAGGGTATGGCAGCCCACTCCAGTATTGCTGCCTGGAAAATCCCATGGATGGAGGAGCCTGGCAGGCTATAGTCCATGGGGTCCAAAGAGTCGGACATGACTGAGCGACTTCACTTTGTAGCTCAGTTGGTAAAAAGTTGAGAGTTATGTTTTATTTGATGGAAATTTTGAGGACTTAAGCCCAGGAGGCAGCATTTCAAGTAACCCGGAGAGAATAGCTCTAAGGAGGCAGGGGGAGGAGTCAGGTTAAATAGAAATTTGCAACAAAGGGCAGGTCTGAACATCAAAAGTATTTTTGTGAATTAAAGAAAACCAGATACCTCAAGTCAAGGAATTTAGCGTTTTTCTACATACAGGAAGATGCAAGAGCCTAGGCTCACTGACATCATTCCTTTCATATGCATCTCAACTCTCTGGGCCAGTATCCTGCATTTTTT